TCAATAAAATTTCAGCAAATTTTGGATGGTAACTTGATGCCATCTGTGAAAAAGCTGAAGTTAAAGAGAGGATGGCTTCTACAAATGGATAATGATCCTAAACACACCTCGAAATCCACGGGGGATTACATCAAGAGGCGTAAACTGAAGGTTTTGCCATGGCCTTCACAATCTCCTGACCTCAACATAATTGAAAATCTATGGATAGACCTTAAAAGAGCAGTGCGTGACAGACAGCCCAGAAATCTCAAAGAACTGGAAGACTTTTGTAAGGAAGAATGGGCAAAGATACCTCAAACAAGAATTGAAAGACTCTTGGCTGGCTACAAAAAGCGTTTACAAGCTGTGATAGTTGCCAAAGGGGGCAGTACAAGATATTAACTCTGCAGGGTGCCCAAACCTTTACAGACGCCATTTTTTTGTTTTCTGTTATTTTGAAAGTGTAAATGATGGAAATAAAATCTAACTTTTGTTGACATATTATAAGAATGTCTAATCTGTAATTTGATGCCTTTTGGAGATTTTTCCATCTTTCCTTGGCTTCTTTATGCACATTAATACAAATTTTTAGCTGGGGTGCCCAAACTTTCGATCCCCACTGTATGTTAATATATTTGGGAAGAATATTTTTAAACTATATTTCAAATACCGTATTTTCCGGCATATAAGACGACTTTTTGACCCTTGAAAATCTTCTCAAAAGTCGGGGGTCGTCTTATACGCCGGTATACGGCATGCTGACACTTTTTAGGGGGGCGGTGCGGTGCCGCCGCCGCCCCCCCCCCCCTTCCAACGGAAGTGAAACTAAGTACAGGGGTGGGCAGGGGCTTCTGTTTCTTACCTGGCTCCGGTCCCACGACGATCCGGTCCAGGAAGCGCGGCTGCTCCTTCCTTCAGTTCGGCCACTGGATGTTCGTGCGGCTGCTCGGCTCCGCCTCCTCACCGGTGATTGGCCGCCAGAACTGTAGCTCAGGAAAGGCACACAGGCGGCCAATCACCGGGGAGGAGGCGGAGCCGAGCGGCCCCACAAAAATCAAGTGAAGGTAAGTGTGCCGTGCACAGGTGCTGCTGCAACCATATATGCTTGCTGCAGCACCATACTGAACAGGGGTCAGCAAGTGTCAGTGGGAGGAATAGTGCCCCATCATTGGTGTCACTGATACCAATGATGGGGCATTATTCCTCTCACTGACACCGACAATGGGGCACTCCCCCCCCCCCCCACTGACACCAACGATGGGACACTATTCCCCCCCCCCCACTGACACCAACGATGGGGCACTATTCCCCCCCCACTGACACCAACGATGGGACACTATTCCTCCCACTGACACCAATGATGGGGCACGATTCCTCACACTGACACCAATGATGGGGCGCTATTCTTCCCACTGACGCCAATGATGGGGTGCTATTCCTCCCACTGACACCAATGATGGGACGCTATTCCTCCCACTGACACCAATGATGGGGTGCTATTCCTCCCACTGACACCAATGATGGGACGCTATTCCTCCCACTGACACCAATGATGGGGTGCTATTCCTCCCACTGACACCAATGATGGGGTGCTATTCCTCCCACTGACACCAATGGGGTGCTATTCCTCCCACTGACACCAATGATGGGACTCTATTCCTCCCACTGACACCAATGATGGGACGCTATTCCTCCCACTGACACCAATGATGGGGTGCTATTCCTCCCACTGACACCAATGATGGGGTGCTATTCCTCCTACTGACACCAATGATGGGATGCTATTCCTCCCACTGACACCAATGATGGGGTGCTATTCCTCCCATTGACACCAATGATGGGGTGCTATTCCTCCCACTGACACCAATGACTGGGCACTATTCCTCCCACTGATACTAATGATGGGGCACGATTCTTCCCACTGGTGTGCATTGGAAGAGGGGTAGTCTTTTACGGCGAGTATAGCCCAAACACTACATTTTAACAGGAAAAGTAGGGGGGTCGTCTTATACGCCCAGTCGTCTTATACGTCGGAAAAAACGGTATATTTTTCTTCCATGTGGGCAGTCGCCAGTATCACCAGGCTCTCTGCAGCTGATTCTTACCCCATTACAGACTTACTGTGCCTTGTTATGTGCTGTGTCTCTGTGGTGGCCATCTTGGTAGTGGAACAGGGCTTTGTTTTGTCATATTAATGCTATACCCCTGATGACTGGTGGTGGAATAATCAAAAAGCAGTAGGACTGGTGAAAGAAGCACAGAATGGATAAGCCAGGAGATTTATGCACTGCTGGTCCTCATGTATAGCTTTCTCTCCAGCAAGGAGAACAATGATCAGTACAGTAGTGACATCATAAATTCTGATGAGACTAGAAGTCACAGGCAGCAGTGCCGTAGATGATTTCACACTGCATATATACAGTTATGAGGCTCAAGGAACAAAAAGTACGCTGCTGTTTCTCAGGAGAAATTATAAAAAAGGTAACATACATAGTAATAAAGTTGGTAAGCTTGAATAAAG